ATTTGGGTTGGGTCGCCATGGATACCGAAAAAGAAATTAAAAAACTAAAAAAACCAAAAAGTCCTTCCCAAACTAGGCTAAAATAGTCAAAAAATCAATCCACTTCTCAAACGGAGGCTTATTATTATTATTATTATTTTTTTTTTTTATGATCGAGTGTTCAGTTCAATTTACGTTTACTTTGATTAATTCTGATTTCCTATAAGTTATATATGTATGCAGTGTGAGAACCAAAAATTAGTTTAGAGGGAACACCTTTGAACTTCGAATTTGTTTTTCCATAAGATAACCATATTTTTCAAAAATTAATGTTAAGCATAAAATCTTAAAAATTTATTACAAAAGTTATTAATATATATTTTTACAATTGATCTTGAGAAATATTGTATAAAAAAGGGTAAATTACAAAAAAAAATCCTGAGATTTGTTTTAAATATGAATTGTACTTGTGGTTTGAAAAATTACAAATAGTCATTGTCAAAATTATTTATTTAACCAAATTAATTAAAAAAATTAAATTCTTAATTACTCTCATAAACAATGATAAAATTACTTGAATTATTAATTGAAATAAATTTCTAATATCATTAAAAATGATTAATTGACTTGATGATTTATTAATAAAATAAGTCATTTGTTATGAAATTAAAAATTTCAAGGGGCAAGATGTAATTTTTTGAATTACAGGGGACAATTCGTATTTTAAACAAACCTGAAAGAGTATACCCAAACAATAAACGTGCTTCTAGAGATTAGAACTCTAAAGATTAACACTAACCAATCTCGTGATTATGTTCCATCTCATGACTGAAAAATTATTTGGCGCTCATGAAGTGTCACGTGGCGATATTTCTCACTAATCACAGTACATTATGTCGTTTGGTATTTCCTAAACAGCCAATATAAAAATATAAATCTCACCTCTTTCACCAATCACAACACTCTTGAGACACTACTTTGCGATATCCCAAGAACAACTAATAACTTCTCCTCTATACTGATTAGTCAACTGTTGGAATTTAAACCCACACTCCAAGCTTGGAATAGGGTTTGTTGATCCTTGGAAATCTAACCCCTAAGAACATCTTCACTTGAATTTTAAAAAAATTATAAGTCAACTTATTTTGAAAGCTTATTAAGGTCTTGTTTGTGAACTAAGTATTTTAAGTAAAAAATTAAAAAGTAATTATAAATTGTCATATCATTTTTTTTTATTTTTTTACATATATTTTTATAAAATGTCAAAAAATTATTAAAATAACAAATGAATATATGGTAGCCTTATATCTTAACACATGTTTTATATTTGTTATTAACTTTGACGGAATATGTGACAATACATTTTATACCACAAATTACCACAAAAAAAAAAAATGTAATTATTTTCAAATCATAAGAATTTAGTTTACACATGAGTCAAACTATAATAGAGCAAAATGAAATTTGCCTCCTTTTACTAAGCATTGCATTCGGTCTCGTTTGGAAACAAACTAATTTAGCCTCTGTTTGGGAAGTGGGTTGGCTTTTTGGCTTTTTGGCTTTTTTGGCTATTTTAGCCTGGGCTTAAAAGCTTGGTTTGGGAAGGGCTTTTTGGCTTTTTGGTTTTTTTGACTTTTTTTGTGAGAGAAGAATGTAATGATTATAGGTTGGATGTGATGTTTTGTTTGTTATGACTAAAATAGTCTATTTTGTTTTTTGTGACTAAAATAGCCAAAAAAACCTGGAAAAGCCTTTGCCAAACGGAAGCTAAGAATGTAGATTTATTTTGTCATATGTATGACTCGTAGGAAGATTGAAATGTGCAATCTTGTCAACATAAACCAACTGTGCTTGTCAAATCATGGTCTAATTGTTTTTTTCAAGCCTATGGAAAATTGCATGAAATATTGAGAAAAAAATACATTACAAATGAATTTTTTTTCAAAAAACATATAGTGGCGTTTTGAAAAGTTGTTAAAAAATTAATTTTTTGATTTTTTAGTAGTTTTTTTGACAAAAAAATTGGATTATTTTGAGTAAAAAAATTAACTTTTTTAATTAAAAAAATTAAAAAACTAAAAAATTGACTTTTTACTGATGTTCCAAAAGAGCCCATAATCTTAACACATAAAAAGAGTTGTACTAAAACCTTGTTTGGGAACAGACTTTTTTTTAATAATTTTTAATTTTTTTGACTAAAATATAATATAAAATAAATTAATATGTTTAAAATAAATTTTTAACTTTTTATAAGAAGATATATAAAATTTTTTTAACTTTTTAACTTAAAAAAATTACTTGTCAATCGAGACCTAACTACAAAAATAAATTGTCAGATTGCTTTCTGAAAGACAATCTCCCCCAAGTCTATATGCTACTACCTTAGCTCAGATGAAACGAAACATCAACCCAAAAGTGGGTGAAACCAACAATGATAGAGACCATTAATTTTGGAGCTTTAAAAAGATCACTAATAACATGACACTCAATAAAACAAGAAAAAAAATACAACACCAAGGTCAAAACATCAAATCATTCCTGGTGGGACCCACTGCCACATCATTAGTGATAGCACTAAATTAGTGCTCTCACTCATTTTCCTGGGTGAAACAGCCAAAATTCTCGAATTGTGTTGGAACAGTCTGAAATATTTAACGGGACAGAACTCTAGTGCTTTTTATCAATTTTTGACCAAAATGATACATTTTAGACCGTACAATATGTACGGCACGAGATTTATAACGTTCACCGGATATGTACGGCACGAGATTTATAACATTAATTTGAATCGTTAATGTGTAGAACTCGTCGAGTATTATATATTTATAAAAAATTACGTTAATCGGATATCGATAACTATGTGATCAAATCAATTTTGTATAAAAAAAATAGACGGTGAATAAATTAACAGTTGACAAAAATCTGTTTTGATCACATAGTTATCGATATCCGATCAACGTGATTTTTTACAGACATATAGTACTCGACGAATTCTACACATTGCACAATTCATATTATCAAAATGGGACCCATGGTGGGCCTCCACAGGCCCAACAGCACGGTTTAGTCCGATTAAGGACTAGACAGAAGCTATTCTCTTTAAGGGCATGGCTTCTGTCCAGTCCGAATGGCTTCTGTCTAGTCCTTAATCGGACTGGACCGTGCTGTTGGGCCTGTGGAGGCCCACCACGGGTTCCGTTTTGATAATCTGAACCGTTCAATATGTAGAACTCGTCGAGTACTATATATCTATAAAAAATCATGTTAATCGGATATCGATAGTTATGTGATTAAATCAGTTTTGTATAAAAAAAAAAAATGGACGGTGAATATATTAACGGTTGACAAAAGTCTATTTTAATCACATAGCTATCGATATCCGATTAACGTGATTTTTTATAGATATATAGTACTCGACGAGTTCTATACATTGCACGGTTCAGATTATCAAAACGGAACTCGTGGTGGGCCCCCCACAGACCCAACAGCACGGTCCAGTCTGATTAAGGACTGGACAGATTGGCTTCTGTCCAGTCCTTAATCGGATTGAACCGTGCTGTTGGGTCTGTGGGGACCCATCACGGGTCCCGTTTTGATAATCTAAACCGTGCAATGTGTAGAACTCGTTGAGTACTATATGCCTGTAAAAAATCACGTTAATCGGATATCAATAGCTATGTGATCAAATCAGTTTTGTATAAAAAAAAATGAACGGTGAATAAATTAACGGTTGACAAAAATCTGTTTTGATCACATAGCTATCGATATCTGATCAACCTAATTTTTTACAGGCATATAGTACTCGACGAGTTCTACACATCGTACGGTTCAGATTATCAAAATGGGATCCATAATGGGGCTCCACAGACCCAAAAGTACAATCCAGTCCGATTAAGGACGGGACAGAAGCCATTCCCTAACTTTAATTATGATCAAAATCTTAAATTTTCGCAAACAGTGATAGATTTTATTTATTTTTGTTATTTATAAACTATTATATTTCTTTGCACCCATTTACATGTTCACTCGTTCGAATTGTGTTGGAACAGTCCGAAATATTTAGCGGGACAGAACTCTAGTGCTTTTGTACCATTTTGTTTTTTTTTTAATTTGATCAAAATAATATATTTGGGACCTTACAACATGTACGGCACGAGATTGATAACTTTAATCATAACTAAAATCTTAAAATTTCACAAAATATCGACAGATTTAATTTATTTTCGTCATTTATAAATTATATTTCTTTGCACTCATATATATGTGCACTCGTTAGTAGATATATATTTGAAGCGATGGAACACGCAATATGTCTGTATATGATTATTTTATTTTAGAAAAATAATATTTAAAATTTTATGATTGAATTCAAATTTAAAAATTGATATGCAATAAGAAAAAGAAAAGTTAAGGCCCCGTTTGTTTGGGGTTATGGGGAGGGGATTGAGTTTGATAGTGAGGAGGGGATTGAGAATGAGGTGTTTGTTTTGAGAGATAGGGAGGAGACTAGTAATCCCTTGGTATTAGTAAGGAAGAGGAAGGGGGATTGGTAAGGAGGAGGTAGAAATGGTATTAGAAAAATAGTGAGAGGATTAGAAATTTTTTTATTTTTTTTATATTGGGAATTTTTTTTTAAATATAATGTTTATTTTTTTATTTGTTTTATTATTTTATATAAAAATAATTTAACAATTCTGCACTATTAATCTCCTCACTAACAATCCCCTCACTATTAATCCCTTCACTATCAATCCCTTCCATTCTATCTCCCAAAACAAACGGGACCTAAGAAATTTGGGAGAGGAAAAAAACTGTGAATTTAGCACATAATTACCCATATAACTACTATAGCAGTATTTAAAAAAAATTTAAAAATGAGACATCAACTTCAACTCTAACTTTCACATAGAAAAAATATGTATGATGTCTATGTCCTTGATTTTTGTCCTTTCTATATTGCATGCATCACATTTTTTGGTAAAAAATGTACATGGATTGACAATTTTACTTTGGTGCATTAGAGTTTCTCTTGATCTACCGACCATTGAAGTTCGATTTGAGAATCTGAATGTTGATGCTGAAGCCTATGTGGGTAGCAGAGGCTTGCCCACAATCATCAACTCTTTTCTTAATGTGATTGAGGTATATCTAATATTCTCTCCAACTATTCCGTATTGAAAAATGATAGGAATCTCAAATAAATTATTAAATTTTCTATCAAACTTTTCGCATAAGTGTGGAATGCACACAAATCACATGTGTGTGGGTCCCACACCCATGTAAGAGGTTTGGTAAAAAAATTAATAATTTATTTAGGATCTCTAACATACCTCTTCCACATTTGTACATTACTACTTTCTTTAACATTAGTATAAACAGTAAGTATCTAGAATTAGATGAGATGAACAAAAAAAAATTAAAGGGGAGAGGGCTCTTGTGAATTCACAATAAATTATATTGTGTTCTTTGGGATAGTAAAATCATCATGGGCCACATTTTAATAATTTTAATCATTTCTTTTGCAAAATATTTTGTATAGATTATACATGAAATATATTAAATTGATATGATAATTGTAACTAAATAATTTATCATATTTGTCTTTTTAAAAATAAATAGACAAAATAAACGGTTTATTTTTAAAATTATATCTGTCATTTATTTCTTTGACAACAAATGTTGTTTATTTATTATTTTTAATATATTGGGTCAATTTAACTTAGCTTTCGTTTGGGATGTGGATTGGCTTTTTGGCCATTTAGGATAGACTTTTTGACTTTTTTAATTTGTGTGAGAGAAAAAATAAAATGATTATGGTTTGGATGTGACATTTTGTCTTATTGGATTAAAAAGCTTATTTTGTCATTTTATGATTAAAATAAATCCCAACCCAACCCAAACCTTCATGCCAAACATAGCCTTGGTGACAGCACACAAATGTTATTTATTTTTTATTTTTTTTTAAGTGAAGGCCTCAATTGGTATAGTGCTTTTTATTTTTAAGAAAGAAGGTTATAAAAAGAGTTAGGAGACTTCATATCACTTAAGCGAAATACACATTATATTATTAATTACATTATTATTATTTTTTTTTAATTTTTACTTATTTAAATTGTGCATAATGTGTGTCACCAGCTAGTATATAAATATATATACATGTATATGGATCAGGGCCGGCCCTGGGGCATAGGCCACAAAGCCATGGCCTAGGGCCCCTCAAAATAGAGTAAAAAAAGGGGTCTCTCCTATTATAATTTAGTGTAATATATTAGGTATGTTTTAAGTGTAAAAAAATTAAAAAATGCCTAAACTAACTTAAAATAAGTTGACTCATTAAAAAATTGAAAAGCCATTTAAAAAAATTAACATTGTTATCCATTAAAAATAGACCCAAAAAAGGGTCTCTTTTATTATAATTTAGTCTAATATATTAAGTATATTTTAAGTCCAAAAAAAAATTAAGGAAGACCCAAATTAACTTAAAATAAATTAATCCATTAAAATATTGAAAGGCTCATTTAAAATAATTAGCATTGTTATTCATTGAAAATGATTTTGTAAAAAAAATAGATTATGCAAGCATGATTGATTTATTTGCTTCTAAAAATATAAAAAAAAAGTGAGGATCAAGCGATACTTATTAATTATTGTAATGTAATCCTAAGTATTTTTTATAATTTTGACACAAATCTTTTGTCATTTACTTTTAATTTTTTTTTATTCAATAAAAAAAATGTAAAAAGTTCTAAAAATTTATTAGTTAATTATCGACTTTGGACCCCAGAAATGTCAGTGCCAGGCTTGATATGGATGGATGTATATATTGTGTAAATTAATAAATTAAAGAGCGAGTGACTTATTTGCAAAACTCCAATTGAAGTCGCCCCTCTTCTTCTTCAATCTGTAAGACCCGTAATTATTCACACAAAACTCCAATATTCTTTTCCGTATTGGCTCATATTTAGAATTAACCATCCGTTTGGAGGGTGGATTGACTTTTTCATTTTTTGATATTTTTTTTTTTTTACTATTTTAGCATGAGCTAAAAAACTTAGTTTGGAAAAGACTTTTTAGCTTTTTGACTTTTTTTGTAAGAGAATAGCGTAATGATTATGGGTTGGATGTGATGTTTTGTTTCTTGTGGCTAAAATAATCTATTTTGTCTTTTGTGACTATTTTAGCCACAAACCAACTTTCCAAACAACACCTAAGATTAAAAACTCTTAAAATATCACTTTTAAATATCCATACAACATAACAACGGTTTAAATCTTAAAAAAATGCTTGAGACCACTAATTAGCGGTAACACTAATGATGTGGTAGTAGACCCCACAGTGTTGCTGTGCTCATTTTTTATTTTTTATTTTTTATTTTTTTTAAGTGTGTGCCAACTCATTAGTGATGCTTTAGAGCACCACTTTTAGCGGTATGTAGCATCGCTATAAATCTTAATTGGTTAATTTCTAAACAAGTCAACAATTAGCATTAATATTTCACACCATTTGGGGTAAATTTAGTTAAAAATAAAAGGATAATTACACTTTACCCTATTTATGTTTGGTCATTTTTTCACATTAGTTGGTTAAGTTTTTTTCCCTCACGTTGGCCTCTATGTTTCAAAAAATTTTCAATTTACTCATAATGCTAATTTTTGTTTAAATTTAGACAGTAAATATCACGTTAATTGTCACATAATATAAAAATATATTATTATATTATAGTTTGTATTTGGATTGAAGGTATGAATTATATATAATAAAATATTTTTAAGTTATCCCGCTGTTAACTTGTCATTTTATATCTAATTTTAGACCTAAGTTAACTCTTAGAATAAATTAAAAAAAAAACTTGAACATGAATGATCAGAATGAGAAAAAAACCAAATTTCAAGAACCGAAGTGAAAAATGGCAAAATATAAAGGGAAAAAAATGTAATTTATCCAAAATAAAAGTCATCCACAAAATAAGAAGAAAGATGGAAGGAGAAGCAACTTCTTTTAGAACATTGGTTGTGATTCAGCACATGATCAGAATGCACTAACCCATGATGCTTTTGTACTTTGCCTTGAAGGGGGTATCAAATTATCTCCACATTCTTCCAAACCAGAAGAAAAGGTTTTCAATTCTTCACAATATAAGTGGAATTATCAAGCCTGGCAGGTAAGAGCATGAGCTCTCTCTCTCTCTCTCTCTCTCTCTCTCTCTGGATATATATATATATATATATATGTACATGTATAGTATTTATTTGCATCCATTTTTGTTGGTTCCTGTCGACGGGTGAACCAGTTGGGATATGATATGTGACAAATTCAAGTGAGGGCTCAACAGTTGTGAAAGAGGGTAAGCGATATGAGAGAGATTGATAAACGTGCATTAAACAGTGCTAATGATGGAACAGTTACTAGCAGTGATCATAGACTCAGTGGGCAGTCCTTCAAGAGGAAGTATGAACAAAGTGGGAGTCTTTCTCTGTCAAGAGAAGGTTAGAAGGGCTTGTAGGCACGTGATAACTTGAAGAAGGGGCAGTTTGTCAGACAGAAGTGAAAGTCTAATGTGATTAGAAGGCCTAAAAACCAGGAAGCAGTTACAGCAGTTACATAGCAGTAGTTGCACATTAAGGAGATTATGGGGGTGTGGGAAAAAAGAAGTATAAAGGTCAGAAATTTGCAGAGAGAGGGGACATCAACAACAATACAAAGAACTAGTTTAGACTTAGCATAATCTAGGAGTAGTTTTCTTAGTTTAGGAGTAGTAGTTTCTTCTTAAGTGTGCAATTCAAATAAATAAGAATAAAAAAAATAATAATAAAATTAATATTATAATATGTACCAAGCTCTTTATGATCCTCCTACCTTAAATCATGATCATGAGTTTAAACCTTACCAAGCTCTTTATGTAACTTTATTTTAAAAATAAAAAATAAAAAACACCGTCATGTGACCTGAGGAGAGCATATAGATATAGTAGCATTTGAGTCCATGCGATACATGGGTAATTGAATGTGCAGTTTTTTATTTGCTGAATTGACTTATTGATCCTTAAAATAACTTCTAGGCAAAGGAAATATTTTGGGGAAATTATGTTGTTTGATTTTTTTTGTAAAAATCAAAATTGCGTGACAACATCAACCAAGTGAGTTTCCATGATAATGTGTGTATATATATTGTAACAAGGCTACCAAGGGATTTGCCCTGATAGTCGCTGGAGACTTGCAATCTCCCTTCCCACGCATGCTAAATAAATTACGGCACAGGCCCTAGCGATGGGCCCAAGGGAGTCGATCACTTCATGAGATTTGAACTCCACTACAAGGAAAAAGGACAGGCATTATTTAAATCATGGTAAAAGTCACAAAAATACGAGGAGCATAAAATTTGTTGTGGGATTTTCACAAATAGCCGGGAAAGCCCCTTTTTCCATATAGAGCCCGTGACTTACATTTCTTGAGAGTGCTCTAGTAGATTGGTGTGGATCACGTACCTTCCCTCTAAAGTACAATTTTTTGGGTGGCTTGCATGGAAACAAAGGTTAAAACTTCCGTATTTCTGCGAAGGATTGGAATTTTGGATGAGAGTGCAACTACCTTGTGTATATTGTGCAAAGCTTATCAAGAATCAGTAGAGCATGTGCTTATTTTCTGCCCTATGGTTTGGTGAGTTTGGACAGGTCTTCTAAAGTGATGGGGAGCTCAATGGATGGTGCCTGGATCAGCTGAAGGACTGTTGCAGTGGTGGGCAGGGGATTGCTTCCCGAAAGTTGAAAGGAGAATTTGGAATACCATACCTTTGGTGGCTCTTTGGTCCACCTGGAAGCACAGGAATGAATGCCTTTTTGATGATGTCCAACCAATGATATTGCAGTGGTGGGCAGGGAATTGTTTCACGAAAGCTGAGAGGAGAATTTGGAATACCATACCTTTAGTGGCTCTTTGGTCCATCTGGAAGCACATGAACGAATGCCTTTTTGATGATATCCAACCAATGATGAAGGAGCTACAGGAAATTACAATTATTGGACTCGCAATTTGGTTGAAAACGTCATCAATGGACTTCCAGTACTCAATCAATGACTTTCTGTACAATATTGTGAAGAATAGAAATCGTATTGGAGGAAGGGTGTAATGTTGCAATGTTTTGGATGTATTGAGGTGTTTTGAGTTGGAATCTCTCTAACTCTTTTCGGGGCTTTGGAAATGCACATGATTAATCTTGCTTTGGGTGCCAACTTAGTTGGGATGCTTAGCTTTAACAATGATGCAACTTCTTTCCAAGCTATTTGTACCTTTTCATTATCTAATAAAAATTTGATTTGCTTGCTGCTCAAAAAAAAAAAAACTTACATTTCTTGAGGCACTTATCACACGGTTTAACTTCACATATCTTGGGGGACTTATCATGGCTCAACTTGTCACTCAATTCACTCTTATATATATATTGTTCTTTCTTCTTTACAACTAATAATGACTTGTCTACAATAATCAGGTTTCTGGGAAAGTGACATACAATGGTCATGAAATGCATGAATTTGTCCCTCAGAGGACGTCCTCTTATGTCAGCCAATCTGATGAACACATTGCTCAAATGACAGTGAGGGAAACATTAGCCTTCTCTGCTAGATGTCAAGGAATTGGTACTCCCTATGGTGAGTTGAATTTGAAATATAGGACTCTAATTTGATGAACTTTGTATAGGACTCTAATTTGATGAACTTTGCACAAGTTTTAACCTAACCATTTTTAACTTATGGCTGCAACAATTGCAGACATGGTTATGGAGCTCTTGCGGAGAGAGAAGGAACTAAACATTGAGCCAGACCTTGACATTGATATATTGTTGAAAGTAAGAGAAAATCAATATAATTTTTACTGAATTTATACCTTTCAATTATCGAGTAGAATGTTACGGAGGCCTAAAACAAAATCTTCAAATACAGGCTGCTGGTTCAAAGGAGCACAAGGACAACTTAGTTACAGACTACATTCTCAAGGTATATCATTAACAGTAACATCTCTGAAAACTAGCAATTTCACGAATATATAAAATATTGTTAAATTTTATTTCCAGCATACACTCATTGTTTTCTTCCTATTTCCTTTTTTTTCTTTTTTTTTTTCGTTCAGATCTTAGGATTGGAAGATTGTGCCGATACAATTGTTGGAAATGAAATAGTGAGGGGTATTTCAGGAGGGCAAAGGAGACGTGTGACAATAGGTAGACAAATGAAACTAAAACAAGTATGATTAAGTCATTTATTTTTTGTCTTTGTTAGCCTCTGTTTGGGAAGAAAAAGCCCATGCTTTTTTGGCTAAAATAGCCACAAAAAATAAAATAGGCTATTTTAGCCACAAAAAACAAAACATCAAATCCAACCCATAATCATTACAATCCTCTCTCACAAAAAAAGTCAAAAAAGCCAAAAAGTCAAAAAGTCCTTCCCAAACCAGGCTAAAATAGCCCAGGCTAAAATAGCCAAAAAGCCAAAAAGCCAAAAAGTCAAAAAGCCAACCCACTTCCCAAACGGAGGCTTAATAGGATCATTATGAGTGCTTTTCTTTACAAAGATTGTCACTGATAATTTTTTTTTCTTTTCTCCTCCGTAATGTTTACTAAAATTTGGTTTTTATTTGTTTTATTTATTTTTTCTTACAATAGAAAACCCTCTTCCCTAACTAGGCCTTTAAACCTTATGTGTTATGAGCCTCTTATATTCATAGATTTCAACATATTTAATTATTAAGAATACAATACCATTTAAGGTAAATTACAAATACACCCTGTGAGGTTTTCTTAAAATACGAATTGCCTTTGTAGTTGTGAAAATTACATCCTGTCTCCTGAAGTTTTGAATTTCATTACAAATAACCCATTTTATTAATAAATCATAAAATCAGTTAACATTTTTTAATGTATCAAAAATTTATGTCAAATAATAATTTAGGTAATTTTATTATTGTATAGGAGAGCAGTTCATAATTTTATTATTTTAGTTAATTCTATTAAATAAAAAATTATGACAATGGGGTATTTGTAATTTTTCAAATCACATGAGACAATTCGTATTTTAAGTAAACTTCAGGGATATATTTGTAATTTACCCTAACATTTGTATACGCTTTTTTTTTCTTTTTTTTTTTTCCAAAATGTTTTCTTATGCTTGCAAATTCTTTGTCATTTGCTTTACATTTCCAAAACTTACAGAAACATTTCTGTTTCTGAGTTAACTGAAAGAACATATCAAAAAGAAAGTTTGATCCTAACTTGTATGATGGGAATATTTAACCGGAAACTATTTTGATTGATAAAGGGGAGATGCTAGTAGGTCCTGCAAGGTCATTTTTCATGGACAACATATCAACTGGTCTTGATAGCGTGACAACTTTCCGAATCATTAACTCAATTAGGCAATCGGTCCATATTCTCAAAAAGACAGTTATGATCTCTCTTCTCCAACCTGCACTGGAAACTTACAATCTCTTTGATGACATCATTCTTATCTCGGAGGGACAAATCGTGTACCACGGCCCTTGTGAATGTGTTCTTGATTTCTTTGAATCCATGGGTTTTAAATGCCCCGGTAGAAAAGTTGTCGCTGACTACCTACAGGAAGTAAGTTTGTGAAAACTAGTATATATCTATGCCTTCGTTGTGCATGCTTGTACATTTGCATATTTTTTAACTGTAAATATGACTGCCATAACACATAAAATTCTTGAATATCGATTTATGTTGTTTCGGTGAAAAATGTTTTCCAAATTTTTCGACATTTGTAATGATGAAAAACAAAAGTCAATGGAAAACTTTTTCCATGGTCAACGAAAAATGAGCTGGGAAATGGTTTTTCATGTTCAATTAAAAAAAAAGAAGCTAATTTGGATAAAAACTTTTTTCACTTTTCATATTGAAAAACATTTTTCAAACTAGTCTTACTAACGCTACCACCATTGTTACCACCACAAATACCCCACCACTAACTAGCACATGATTTTTAAGATTGTAACCAAACAAAGGAAATATTTTTTGCATGTGATATTTTCCATAAAACGCTTTCTCCAAGATGTTTTCTACCAAAACAAACGGATCATTTTCAAAATCACAACCAAAAAACACTGGAAGCAATTTTTTCAACGAAACAAACAGGTCATTTTCAAGATTGCAACCAAACACATGAAACATTGTCAAAGCTTTTTTGTTTTACTATTTGAGTTCTGGTCAAACTGTGCATTAACATTGATTCAAAGCTTTTCTGTGCTACCTTCCAAATAATGTCAATTTCATAATTAAAATTCACATATTCTAATATCCTGAATTTAGGTCACATCAAGAGAGGATCAAAAACAGTACTGGGTTAATGAAGACACGCCATATAGATACATTTCCGTCAATGAGTTTGCAGAGGCATTTCAATCGTTCCACATTGGAAAAGCAATCCGTCATGAGCTTCTCACACCATTTGATAGGTCAAAGTGCCATCCTGCAGCTTTAGTTCGATCCAAATACGCAACTAATCGGTTTGAGTTGTTGAGCGCTTGCTTATCGAGAGAATGCATTCTGATGAAGCGAAACTCATTTCTATACATGTTTAAAATATTTCAGGTAAGTAGTGTCGATGTTTTATATTTCATACTTTTTTAACGTAATTATTACACTTTACAAGGTCTAGATGACTCTTTTTCCTCATTGCAGCATTTAATTCTCGCGATCATATCTGCAACACTCTTTGGGCAAAGCCGAGTGCACCATCAGACAATAGAAGATGGATTAGTTCATCTTGGAGCTCTCTATTGCGGTCTTATTGCAACTTTGTTCACCGGGTTTTTTGAATTACCAATGACCATAGAAAAACTTCCCGTCTTTTACAAGCAAAGAGGAAGTTTTTATCCTTCTTGGGCATACTCATTGCCAACATCAATAGTCAAAACACCAGTATCTATTATTGAAGTTGCTATTTGGGTTATGGTAACTTATTATGCGATAGGATTCGATCCTACTGTCGAAAGGCCAGTCTTGAAAAAAACCCATTATCTTAAGTAGCTGTTCTTTCTCAGATTCTCTATTTAAATCTGCACCTACTGTTATAACTTCTTCTTCTTCTTTTTTTTTTCTTTTTTTTGTTTTGCTTTTTATTTTTTATGGCAGGATGTTTAGACAATTTTTAATTCTCGCATTGAGTGGCCAAATGTCTTATGGGATTTTTAGATGCATTGCTGCACTTAGTAGGGACCATAATGTCGCCAACACGGGGGGAAACATTGCAATGGTCTGGCTTGTGGTTTTTAGTGGCTTTGCCTTATCACGACGTATGAATTTATACAAATTCTCTAAGATTTTTCTTATACGAAATTAAACTTTTGAGAATTTCTTTATGTGAAATTCTGCTCTAATGAGGTTCTCTTTCTTTTTTTTTTTGTTCATTTTTCTTTTTCCAGATGATATGAAGAAATGGTTGATTTGGGGTTACTGGACAACGCCTCTGATGTATGTGCAAACTGCACTGTCAATAAATGAATTCCTCGGTGGTGATTGGAAATATGTAAGAATTTTCATAAAAGAAAGATGAGTCCAAAATTTGTTACATATATAGTGGAATCCTCTAGAAACTTTCAACACCCTTGGAATTATAGGTTTTCAATAAATCAACCGAAGCACTAGGAATATCTGTCTTGAAGTCTCGTGGGATATTTACTACTACATATTGGTATTGGATTGGAATTGATGCAGTGATTGGTTTCATATTCTTATTTGGAGGGATTTATACTTTGGCTCTTACTTATCTCAATCGTGAGTTATCCCATATTTAGTACCTAATATTACTTTGTGTTACTTTTCATTTCAAACTGAAATTAACCAATTCTGAACTAAATTCATGTAGAACATCAGAAGACCGTGTTTTTGCCTATAGAAGTTTTGCAAGAGAGACATGCTAACAGAACTGGTGAAATAGAAGGAAACAAAACATTAGAGAATGAAAACCCATCCAAAAGTAAGCCATTGAGTTCTTTTTATGTTTTAGTTAGTCTCAACATTATCTTCGGAACCAAAAAAAAAAAAAAAGTAAGACGTTGATCAAATGACAGATGCCATTTTCAAATGTCGAGAGGAGAAAGGAATGCTTCTCCCATTTACACCTCTTTCCATCACTTTCGAGAATATCAGATATTCTATTGATATGCGAAAGGTAACTTTGATTTCAACATTTCTTATGCATAATTTTTTTTCTTCTTCTTTTTTTTTCCCAAAAAGTGAGAAGCTAACGAGCACGAAATTCATAGGAAAAAAAAGCGAAAGGCATTCAAGGGGGGCGATTGGAAATTCTTAAGGGAGTAAGCGGGGCTTTTAGGCCCGGAGTCCTAACCGCCCTTATGGGTGTTAGTGGGGCTGGTAAGACAACACTACTAGACATTTTGGCTGGAAGGAAAAACACCGGGCTTGTAGAGGGAACCATCAAGATTTCAGGATACCCCAAGAAACAAAAAGTGTTTGCTCGAGTTTCTGGATACTGTGAACAAAATGACATCCACTCCCCTTTTGTCACAGTTCATGAGTCCCTACTATTCTCCGTTTGGCTTCGGTTGCCTTCAAATGTCAAACTTGATACCAGAAAGGCAAGTGGAATGAAATTTTGAAACACTAGTTAGTAATCCATTGTGTTGTGTTCTTTGCTATTCAAGCTTTTTTGAAACTTGTTGGTGCAGAGTTTTGTCGAGGAGGTCATGGAATTGATTGCATTGACACCACTGAGAGATGCATTAGTTGGATTCCCTGGTGTGAATGGGCTATCAGTTGATCAACGCAAAAGATTAACTATTGCAGTAGAACTTGTAGCCAACCCCTCTATAATATTCATGGATGAGCCAACCACAGGACTTGATTCTAGAGCGGCTGCTATTGTCATTAGAACTGTGAGAAACATCGTGGACACGGGAAGAACTGTAGTGTGCACAATTCATCAGCCAAGTATTGAAATTTTTGAAGCTTTTGACGAGGTAAGAGATCTTTATGAAATCCTATGACATATATTTTTTCTTTTTCAGAGTCTCCTTTCCTATGCTAAATTTTACAGTCTCCCCAATTGTAGCTCTTCCTACTGAGTCAAGAAGGCGAAGAAATATATGTTGGTCCTTTGGGTGACAAGTCTCGCCATATGATACACTACTTCAAGGTAGGCCTAGACAAAACTAGAACTTCTCGACTTTAACAAGGTGAATCTATATGTCCCTCATTTTCTTCTATTTTGTTGTTTGAAGCAAATCAATGGTGTGCGTAAGATAGAAGATGGGTACAACCCGGCAACATGGATGATGGAAGTTACCACACAAGCGGAGGAGGAGCTTCTAGGTGTTAAATTTGCTGATGTATACAAGAATTCAGATCTTTTTTGGTTGGTCATCTAACTCTCTCTTTTTTCTATATTATATACATAAATAATAGTAAAAAGGCGATCCAGTACACAAGACTTTTGCTAAAGCAGGGCATAAGGAGAAAATAACTCTCTTTTTCTCTTATGAAAATATATAGCCATTGTCTTGGGTACCTTAAAAAGTTAATGATTCATATGAACTATTGCAGGAGAAACAAGGCCTTGATCGAGGAGTTGCATACACCACCACCTTATTCAAAAGATCTCAACTTCCCCAAGTACTCTCAACCATTTCTTACTCAATGCAAAGCATGCCTATGGAGACAACACAAGTCCTATTGGCGAAACACGTCATATAACTCTGTCCGACTTTTATATGGAGTTTTAACAGGCTTCATGCTTGGAATTGTGTTCCGGGGACTCGGTTCAAGAAGGTACAAATATTTTAGTATCTATATATATATTCATTTATTTATGGGTCCATGTGATGAACAAAAGCTTTGGTGACCATTTATGTGGCATCTCACATTGCGCTAACCACATCATCGTATGGATCCCACATTTTATCTACAAAGCACTAATACTAATTTATCATGGGGTCCATCGTACATGATGTAGTTAGTGCTATGTGAGGTGCCGTATCTTTATGTCTTTATCTCCTTCAACTATTTTTCATCATTTCTTCCTAATGTATTATTATAAAATGTATCCATAAGCATGTCTTTTGCTATTTGTTTTTCAGTTAAATGATTGTATGTGTTTAAAATTTTGATTTTACATATAAAATGGGTTTTAAACTTATGCATTTTTATTATAATTTTATTTAACTTTCTTTTGTAGTTAAATTTGTTTGTGTTCTTTTATAATTAGTAAAAAAATAACTTTACTTGATAGGAGTCATCTAGATTTTTTGCCTGACGCCTTAAATTAGCTAAGGCTACCCTTGTATGATCATCCATGTGTACGTTGTATTTGATCTCCTGGATTGTAAGTGTTTTGATGTTTATTCCTAATGTTTCATCCTTTACCTCTTGGGTTGTGACCAAGAATCAAATTTTCTTTTTGTTATGGTGTCTCGGTTAGCTTGAAAATGGAAATATATGAGAAACATAAGGGAAGTGAGAAAAAAAAAAATTGAAAATGTTTGAAAACAAAAACTAAAGTGTAGATGAATGTTAATACTTCTCCAATAATTAAATAATTGAACTTGATGAGATCTATAGATCTATAAATAATGAAATAATGGGGAAGAGGTTTGCCATTATAAGAAAAATATTGTTGTAAAAAATGCAAAGTTCTAGTGGTAGTAGTGATGACAAACAAGAAAGCAAAAAGAAAAAAAAATGTGGTAACAAAGAAACAGAATGTGTGACTTATTCCTGTGTATTTATCTTCTTCTCTCCATCTTTTATCTTCTCTGTCTAGTTTCTTAGATTCCCTAATAAATTTAATATTTTTATTTATTCTCAAAAATTTTCTTTTGATAAAAGGAGGCAAATAGAAATGAATATTATTAAATATTCTTAATAGATATAAAAACAACTCAATGTTTTGGTATGTTTCATACTGTTTTCGTGTGTTTTCGTATCTTTCAGTGGAAATATTGGAATTCTAGTATTCTGTTATTATTTTGTTTGGTTTCCTAGGAAACGTAAATATTTCGGCCATTTCAATGAATCAAAAAATAAATAGTGAAAGTTTGTTCATTGGTTATGAGAGACTTCTCCTTTGTAGGCCTAGCCTCTTCAGCTTATGAAAGTTTTTTTTCTTCTAGGCTAGGTTGTTGGCGCATTGCCTAGTTTGGGAGGAGTGGGCTTCTTTAAACTAGTCCTTGTGTACCCTTCTAAGATGTCTTTGGAGCCGCATTGTATATTTTTTGCTTTCGCTAATAAATGCTCATTAACCCACCAAAAAAAAAAAATGAAGATAGAAACATCAAAAGTAAACCAACCCCTTAGACTATTATGAAAACACCATCAAATTTCAAACTAGCGCAATCTAATTCAAAATTTTCATCCAATTGAGAACGTCTAGCATATTTTCTCACAATAGCAGGGTCATTATAACTAACTTCAGTGAGTTGTCCGCCATAGAACTCAATAGTTACATCTACTTGTTCAACAAATTTTCAGGTATAGCGAACAGGATGTTCTCAACGGGGTGGGTTCAATGTACACGACCATAATGTTCTTGGCAACAAATGCTTGTGTTTCAGTGCTCCCAGTCATAACCGCTGATCGAGTAGTCTTTTACAGAGAGAGAGCTGCAGAGGCATACTCTGCATTTCCTTACGCAATTGCACAGGTATAGGTTATATGATACAATGAACATTTATTCATGATCATATTAGATTACACAAGTTCTTGGATTGATCTTCCCATTTCAGGTTGCAATTGAAATCCCATATACATTGGCTCAAACTCTTGTTTATGGGATCATAGTCTATGCGATGATCGGATTTGAATTGAGCTCAACCAAGTTCTTCCTATACTTGTTCTTTTTCTTCTTCACATTCCTGTACTGCACATATTTTGGAATGATGGTGGTAGCCATAAGTCCTAATCAAGAAATTTCCGCGACATTGTGTAGTGCCAATTTTACCTTGTGGAATGTCTTCTCGGGTTTTCTAATTCCCCCAGCAGTAAGATTCAATTTAAATCCTAATGTTGAAGCTTCATAACTTATGCTCAGTTTTGTTTCGAAAAAAGATAATTATTTTTTTCACAAAACATTTTTTGGAACTTAGCAAAAACATTTTTAGGTATTTGGTCGCGAACCTGAAAATGATGGTTGTGGTAGTGGTGGGGGTGGTAGGGACTGTGAAGTGGTGGTGGTTGCAGCAACGTAATTGATGGGGAGGTGGTGACCAGTTACAAACATAGAAGGGGTGAGTGGGGGGGGCTAACCCTTCCCCTGCTATCAATTTTTTTTTTTTTTTAATCCTTGATTAGTTCCATTCAATTTTAAGTATTTATAAAAAGAAGGGTAAATTAAATTGCCCTCTCCTAAGATTTGAAGAAAAATGCAATAAGCTCCACAAGTTTTGATTTAATTATGTTGAGCTCCCTTAAGGTTTTTGTTTGCATAATATTTGGCACTCTTTTCATCAGAAATTTATTAGTTGTATAAAAGAAAAAATGATATTGCCATCTCTTTTACACTAAATATAGATTTTACCTTATTTATCTTTATGTCTTCATTCTATCTACATTAGTTTCAGTCTCTTTAATCTTCTTAAAAGGGAGATCAGTGTAATTATATCAAGATTGTGAGACTTGCTGTATTTTCTCCAAATTTTAAGGGAGGTCAATATAATTCACAATAAAAAGACATTAGCATTTTGGCACTCCAAAATCTATATAATTTTACAGCGACCCTCTTAAACTTCACAAAACCCTCATTGGCCTATGCAATTTATATATTTGTACTGCTAATGGAGGACCCATAAATCAAACAAAAGAGTGGTCTTTTTTTTTTTTTTTGAATATTGAAGGGTCAAATACTACTAATGGCGGAAGTATAAATCATACAAAAGAGGGGACAAAAAAATATTTGAATATGCAATTTATATATTTGTAAAAGAAATATATAAATTGTACTTTGACCCTTGCATATTCAAATATTTTTTTGTCCCCTCTTTTGTATGATTTATACTTCCGCCATTAGTAGTATTTGACCCTTCAATATTCAAAAAAAAAAAAAAAGACCACTCTTTTGTTTGATTTATGGGTCCTCCATTAGCAGTAAGAGTGATAGTGGCATCATCATCGGTGGTGGTGGTGGTGGGAGGGGGGTTGAAACCTTTTCAGCTCATTTCAGAGGTGAAAATTGCAGTGATGTTTATAAGACTATAGTTTGAAAAATGTTGCCGTCCTTTCAGAGGTAGAAACCTTTTCAGCTCATTTTCCGTTGGTCAGATAAAATAATTTTTCGTTGTTAGAAAATTGCAGAAATACTTTTCAGAATTTTTTTTTTCTTTCAAAACAAACACAGCTGGGGGAGATGGATTCAATGTACAATTTGATGATTCAATGCAGAGGATTCCAACGTGGTGGAAGTGGTATGCATGGGTGTGTCCCTTTTCATGGAGTCTATATGGATTGGCTTGTTCACAGTATGGAGATATTCAGTCTATGCTCAACAATGGAGAGACTGTGGCTGAGTTCATAACAAGGTATTTTGGGTACAAAAACAACTTCTTGAAAATTATTTCTATCGGCACAATCGGGTTTGCAGTGATCTTTGCCTGCATATTTGCTGTCTCTATTTCGACCTTAAATTTTCAGAAAAGATGAATAAGTTTACAAGGAAAGTCTGTAAAACTCATAAACCTATTGTTTTTACATGATGTTCAAACTATGTGCTAAACAAAGTTCATACAGAGAAGAGAACCAACCACAATTCAATATATGGTTGTTACAAGAGTTATGATTGTATGGTATGGTTATATGAAATAGATCGTCTAGGTTTTAATATATCTTGCTTTTTCTAAGTCGTGTTGCATTATATTTGGCCATGATTGTCTTGGACGTGTTCATAAGGAAAAATGTAAGCGTACTCTATGTTGAGCGAAATTGTGATTTCAATCACACAATAAAGTAGTAAACACACAATGAAAAACAAAAACAAAAACATAACATATAAGTTTGTTTTCTTAGTGAATTGTTTTTGTAGTTTTGGCCCATGATTTTTTATCACAATTGGAGGAGTTTAATTATGATATTTTTTACGTTAAATTGTTGTACCGATTTGTTGTTGATTGTTCAATTGGGATTGTTATTCATTGTTTGAATTGAATGATAATCACAAATCGATATTTCGGGATTTTCAAGATTTTTCATAAATCACACTTTAATTTGCTTATGCATCTTACTTTGCGTTCATTCTTGCTTGTTCATTCTCTACAAATAGGAATATTGTCTGGAAATAAAATAAGTTAGTAAAATTTAATACCACTTATTGAAACGGATTATCATTATACTCATTTGTAACCACCCCCCTCCCCAAAAAAAAAATGCTAACTTGACATCATATACATATTTGCACAATAAACCAAGACAATTACAAAATCAATTGCAAGAGTTCTCTTTCTTATTGAACTATAAATTAATAGTTACAAATTTCATAAGAGTCCTTATAGTTCAAAAAGTTAGAGAAAATTATAACAAATACATCATGACTTACAAGTTTCTAGATCAAGGTTTCAAAAGAATAAAAGGACTCTTAGTCCCAACAACAATAATAATAATAATAATAATAATAATAATTACATTATGTCCCCAACAAAAACAAAAACAAAAGAGTGGACAACTTCAAATTCATTGGAGTAGTTGCTGCTCTCCAAGTCCTAAAAGTTGTTAGATAGGAATGAGCAATTGCCCAGCAGAGAATATATTAACCATATAAATATTTGATTTAAAATATGCAAGACCATGACCTTTACCCATGAACACTACATATGCTTGTTTTTCAGTGCTCCTAGTCATATCCGTTGATCGAGCAGTCTTTTATAGAGAGAGGGTTGCAGAGGCATACTCCGCCTTTCCTTATGCGATTGCACAAGTATAGGTTATATCATATGATGAAACATTCATGATCATATTAGATTACACAAGTTCTTGCATTGATCTTCCCATTTCAAGTTGCAATTGAAATCCCATATACATTGGCTCAAACTCTTCGGATTTGAATTGAGCTTAACCAAGTTCTGCTAGGATTAAGAACACTCAAAAATTAATCACACACAGAAAAGACACAAGATATTTACGTGGTTTGGCAATTACCTACATCCACGGAGAGATTTCACTATAGAATTTCTCGGAGGGAGATTACAGAACTCACACTCACTTTCTATAGATTTACACACACTTTCTCTGATTCTCTCTTGCTCTGTGTTGTGTTTCATCCCTTTCTCATCACCTCAATTTATACACAAATGAGAGGGAACAAAGTCAAGGAAGAGGAGTCATTGGGAGGGCTGCCACTTGCCATTTCCCGTCTTACTTCTTGACTTGGAGCCAACCTCCAACTACTCCTCCATGTGGGCTGGAGCCAACAATTCTCCCCCTCTATGCCCATATGGATAACTGACTTCTTACTTGAATCCATCCCAGTTAGATTCTTGCAAACTTCCAGTTTGTCTCTGGTGACAACCTTGATCATCATGTTAGAAGGATTCTTGTCCGTGTGAATCTTGACCAGCTTTATCAGCTGCTTTTCCATCACTTCTCGTATCTAATAATACCGGACATCAATGTGCTTTGTATGTGAATGGTACGCGGAATTCTTGCTCAGATCAATTGCACTCTGACTATCACAATGTACCTTGTGCTCTTCCTGCTGTAGACCCAATTCTTGGAGAAACTGCTTTAACCACAACGTTTCCTTTCCAGCATCTGCGACAGCAATAAAAAACACACTTTTGTGGTTTGGACTGCCATGAAATAGCCCCCCTGCAAAGGTGAATAAAGATCCTAATGTAGACTTTCTACCATCAAGATCACCCGCCATATCGACATCTGTAAAACCCTCCAAAATTGGTTCAACTCCCCCAAAACATAAACACAACTTTGAAGTTTCCTTAAAGTACCGAAGAATCCATCTGACTGCCTTCCAATGATCCTTTCCTGGATTGGTGAGGAATCTGCTCACAACACCAATTACGTGAGCTATATCTGGCCGGGTATACACTATTGCATACATCAAAATCCCTACTGCAGATGAGTAGGGAATTGCCTCCATCTCTTCTCTTTCATTTGTAGATGAGGGACAAGAACTCTTGCTTAGCTTGAAATGGTTAGCCAGTGGAGTGTTGACTAGCTTGGCTTCTTTCATGTTGAACCTTTCAATCACCCGTTCAATATATTTTTCCTGTGATAGCCCTATCTTCTTGGCTTTCTTGTCACAAACAATCTTCATGCCCAAAATCTATTTTGTTGGGCCTAAATTCTTCAGGTCAAAATACTACGACAAGTCATTTTTCAACTTGTTGATCATAGCATTATCATGGACATACAACAGTAGAATGATGAAGTTTCCATCCAAAAACCTTCGAAAATATACACACTGGTCTGCTATCGTTCTTGTGTACTCGGGATCCACCATGAATGAATCAAACTTCTTGTACCATTGTCTTGGCGCTTGCTTCAGGCCATAGAGACTCTTCTTTAGTTTGCAGACTAGATTTTCTTTTCCTTTAACTTCAAATCCTTCTGGCTGCTCCATATAGATCTCTTCCTCCAAGTTACCTTAGAGAAAGGCAAACTTGACAGCCATCTGTTCTACCTCCAGATTCAAGCGAGCTGCTAATCCCAGAGCTACTCGAATGGAAGACATCTTCACAACTGGAGAGAAGATCTCGTCAAAATCAATTCTCTTTTTCTACCCAAAACCTTTGACCACCAAGCGAGCTTTATGCTGCAATAGTTAACCGTTGCCATCTTTCTTCAACTTATACACCTATTTTTTCTTCAAGGCTCTCCTGCCTCTTGGAAGTGGAACACGCTCATAAGTGTGGTTCTTCTACAAAGAACTCATCTCCTCCTTCATGGTTTGAATCTAACAGCCTTTCTCTGTATGACTTTTTGCTTTCGAAAAACTCTCAGGCTCCCCTTTATCAGTAATCAGAATATACTGAGAGGTGGGATATTTGGTTGATGGTATGACAGCTCTTCCAGATCTCCCAACTGAGGCCCAGTTGCCTCTAGTTGAGGGGGTTGCTCTCCCTGCTTAACACCCTCTTCATCCGGGTCTTTATCTCTTTCCTTTTGATCCTTATCTTCTGTCATTGGATCTTGCAACTCTGGCACTTCTTGTTGCACCTCATCAACTCTAGCATGTTCTGAGGGTTCTGGAGATAGAAACAAGTCTAGAGTGATAACAACTCTAGACTTTGCTGATTTCTCAAAATATACTATGGTCTGGTCTTCATGGAACACAACGTCTCTACTCCTGAACGTCTTCTTGTTCACCAAGTCCCACAACTTGTACCCAAATGCCGCATCTGAATAGCCCACAAATATACATGGAGTGGACTTGTCATCAAGTTTCTGTCTGTTTTCTTTGAAAATGTGTGTGAACGCCTTACATCCGAAGACTCTCAAGTGAGAATATGATATCTTTCTTCTAGACCAGACTTCCTCAGGTATCGCAAAATTCAATGGGACTGAAGGCGACCTGTTGATAAGGTAACAGGCTGTATGTGCGGCTTCAACCTAGAATGACTTTGGCAACTTTGTCATTCTAAGCATGCATCTAACTCTTTCAATAATAGTGTGGTTAATCCTCTCTGCCACACCATTGTGTTGTAGGGTATCGGGAATTGTTGTCTCGTACCGGATACCTCTGCTGGCACAATATGCTTCAAAAGCATTGGAAGTGTACTCGCCACCATTGTCTGTGCGAAGACACTTCAACTTTTTTCCGGTCTTTATTTCCACCATTGCATGAAATTCCTGAAAGTACTGGAATACCTCATCCTTTGTCTTCAGGAAATACACCCACAACTTCCTTGATGCATCATCAATGAAGGTCAGAAAATACTTGTGGTTGCCAAGTGACTCCACTTCGATTGGGCCATAAACATCCAAATATACCATACTGAGTACTTCTATTTTCCTCTTGCTCGTTGAATTGAATGATACTCGATGCTGCTTGCCATAAAGGTAATGATCACATGGCTTCAGAGCATTCCCTTTGGATAAGGGTATCCTGGATTGTTTTGCCAACAGATGCAATCCCTTCTCACTCATATGAGCCAATCTTCTGTGCCATAAGTCCGGTGACTCCTTGTCTTCTGCTGCATTAAGACTTTTTAGATAGATCTTTGTTTGAGCCTTGTACAGTGTTGAAGACATCTCTTCTCTAGCGATTGTTAAAGTTCCTCCTGTCAGTTTCCAACGGCCATTTCCGAATGTAATTGTATAGCCCTGTTGGTCCAAAGCGTTTTCGGAGACAAGATTGAGGCATAAATGTGGAACATGCCTCACATCTTTGAGAACCAGCTTGTGTCCGACATTAGTCTGAATACTAATTTTAATTTCTCCAATACCCACAATCTTTGAATAGCTAGAATTCCCCATTCGAACAGTGCCAAAATCTCCAGCGTTGTACGAGCTGAAGAGTTCTCTATGGGAAGTGGCATGATAGGATGCAATTGTGTTTATCACCCACTTTGTACAACTGTGGTCAGCCACGTGAAGGCAATCCTCATTTTCACCAACTGCAAGAAGTATTTCATCAGTTGTTGTGGCTGTCGTGTTCTCATCTCCCTTTGATTTACTACTTTGGCCTTTATCTTTTCGGCTTAGACAGTTCCTCTTTATGTGACCCTCCTGGCCACAGTGAAAGCAAGTGAAGCTAAAGTTACCTTGACTTTTACTATCTCTGGATTTACTCCTATTGTTCCATCTGCCTCTACTCTTGTTTCTTCATCTACCTCTTCATCTACCTCAGTCTTTGCGTCTATCTTCTATGACAAGAGCACGGGACTGATTACCTCTCATGTCTTTCCTCCTTGTCTCTTCATTGTACATAGTGTCTGTGATCATGCTCATGGTCAGTTTCCCCTCTAGTGCAGAGTTACTAAGAGAAACCACCGTCTCCGTACTGTTCGGTAAAGAACTGAGTAGTAGAACGGCTTGCATTTCATCATCCAAGGGCATCTTGATGGTTGCAAGTTAACTCACCAGATTCTTGAATTCACTGGTGTTCTCAGTGACAGACACACCATTCTTTAGCTTCAGATTTACAAGCCTTTTCATCACCAAGGCTTTGTTTCGGGCGGTCTTTGACTGGTACATTCCTTCTAACATTGTCCAAAGGACATATGCATCTGTCTCTTGGGCGACATGGTGGAACACACTGTGGTCTATCCATTGTCTGATACAACTGGCAGTCTTTTGGTTCATCTTTATTCTGTCTTCATCCTTCACTTCTTCCGATTTAACCCCTTTTAGAGCAATAAGGTCCAACAACTCTTTATAATATAGGATGTCTTCCATCCGCAGCTTCTAGATTACATAATTAGAAGGATTCAACTTGATCATGGATCCTGAAGTTGATGTGAATTCCTCCATCATTTCTTTACTTTTTACAGAAACTCTGATTCAAAAATCTAACCGTATGGATCTGTCTAGAATATTCAAAATAGTTGGAAACCACTATTGGATCGTCAAAATCGGACTTCAAATGGCTCAGATCTAGCCAAAATAAGTTTGATGGTTCAGATCTGCAGATGTACCCTAGCTGCGTAGCACCAGATAATCCCTCAGCTTCTGGGTTGGATTGGGTCAGCCCAATACGTCGACCAGTTAACAAACGTGCTGACGTGTCAGACAAATGGTGCTGACGTGGCGTCTGAAGTGGCGATGGCGTGGCGTTGACGTGTCGTCTAACGTGGCAATGACATCACTATCACACGCAGAACACTCTCTTTCTTCCTTCCGCCGCGCGTCTGGTGCATGTCTGTGACTAGGATGACGTGTCGGTACAAGAAACGGCGCGTGAAATGCGTGTCTGCAACTGGGCTTCACTCGCCTTCTTTAGGTGGCATGTGGGGGCGCGTGGAGCCTTATTTGGGGCTCTGCTTTGCAGTTCTAGACTTCTCTCGTTGAGGGCTTCCTCCCAGTATTCTCAAAAGTGAATTTCGAGTAACTTGATTTCTGGCAGTTTTTGAAAAACACACCCTGTTTTTCCAAAAATTTGACCAACGAGACTCTGATACCACTTGTTAGGATTAAAAACACTCAGAAATCAACACACACAGAAAAAACACAAGATATTTACGCGGTTCGGCAATTGCCTACGTCCACGAAGAGATTTCACTATAGAATTTCCCGAAGGAGATTACAGAACTCACACTCACTTTCTATAGATTTACACACACTCTCTCTGATTCTCTCTTACTCTGTCTGTGTTGTGTTTCATCCCTTCCTCATCACCTCAATTTATACACAAATGAGAGGGAACAAAGTCAAGGAAGAGGAGTAATTGGGAGGGCTGCCAGCTGCCATCTCCCCTCCTACTTCTTGACTTGGAGCCAACCTCCAACTACTCCTTCATGTGGACTGGAGCCAACAAGTTCTTCCTATACTTGTTCTTCTTCTTCTTCACATTCTTGTACTGCACATATTTTGGAATGATGGTGGAAGCCGTAAGTTCTAATCAAGAAATCTCCGCAACATTCTGTGGTTCTACTTTCACCCTATGGAATCGCTTCTCTTGTTTCCTAATTCCTCTAGCAGTAAGTTTTAGTTTAAACCCCAAGGTTGAAGCTTCATAAATTATGCTCAATTTGTTTTGAAGAAAAATATCTTTTGCAAAAAATATTTTTGGAAATCTACAAAAACAAAAAATTAGGTATTTGGTTGCAAACCCAAAAATGATAGTTATCATAGTAGTGGAGTGATAGTGGCGACGAAGTAGTGGTGATGGTGGTAGTGGAGACAATGGTACTTGTAGAGTGGTGGTGACTAGTGACAGACACAAGGGGACGACTCAAATTTCACAAAATCTTGATTAGTTCCATTCATTTTTAAGTATTTATAAGAAAAATTAGCATTTTGGATCTCCAAAATCTATATAATTTTGCTTTGACCCTCTCAAACTTCACAAAACCCTCATTAGCATATGTAAGTTATATATTTGTAAAAGAAGTTTGCATTTAACACTTAAACATAATTGTACTTTCACCCCTAAAAATGTAATAATTTTTTTTTGGCGGCTTTTGTATGATTTATGGGTCTTCCATCGGTAATAACAATGGTAATAGTGGCAACATTGGTGGTAGTGGTGGTGGTGGTGGTGGTGGTGGTGCTAAGGTGATGACTATGGTAGTGGCATTGATAAACCCGGCAACATGGATGATGGAAGTTACCACACAAGCGGAGGAGGAGCTTCTAGGTGTTAAATTTGCTGATGTATATAAGAATTCAGATCTTTTTTGGTTGGTCATCTAACTCTCTCTTTTCTCTATATTATATACATAAATAATAGGAAAAAAGCGATCCAGCACACAAGACTTTTGCTAAAGCAGGGTATAAGAAGAAAATAACTCTATTTTTCTCTTATGAAAATATATAGCCATTGTCTTGGGTACCTTAAGAAGTTAATGATTCATATGAACTATTGCAGGAGAAACAAGGCCTTGATCGAGGAGTTGCATACACCACCACCTTATTCAAAAGATCTCAACTTCCCCAAGTACTCTCAACCATTTCTTACTCAATGCAAAGCATGCCTATGGAGACAACACAAGTCCTATTGGCGAAACACGTCATATAACTCTGTCCGACTTTTATATGGAGTTTTAACAGGCTTCATGCTTGGAATTGTGTTCCGGGGACTCGGTTCAAGAAGGTACAAATATTTTAGTATCTATATATATTCATTTATTTATGGGTCCATGTGATGAACAAAAGCTTTGGTGACCATTTATGTGGCATCTCACATTGCGCTAACCACATCATCGTATGGATCCCACATTTTATCGACAAAGCACTAATACTAATTTATCATGGGGTCCATCGTACATGATGTAGTTAGTGCTATGTGAGGTGCCGTATCTTTATGTCTTTATCTCCTTCAACTATTTTTCATCATTTCTTCCTAATGTATTATTATAAAATGTATCCATAAGCATGTCTTTTGCTATTTGTTTTTCAGTTAAATGATTGTATGTGTTTAAAATTTTGATTTTACATATAAAATGGGTTTTAAACTTATGCATTTTTATTATAATTTTATTTAACTTTCTTTTGTAGTTAAATTTGTTTGTGTTCTTTTATAATTAGTAAAAAAATAACTTTACTTGATAGGAGTCATCTAGATTTTTTGCCTGACGCCTTAAATTAGCTAAGGCTACCCTTGTATGATCATCCATGTGTACGTTGTATTTGATCTCCTGGATTGTAAGTGTTTTGATGTTTATTCCTAATGTTTCATCCTTTACCTCTTGGGTTGTGACCAAGAATCAAATTTTCTTTTTGTTATGGTGTCTCGGTTAGCTTGAAAATGGAAATATATGAGAAACATAAGGGAAGTGAGAAAAAAAAAAATTGAAAATGTTTGAAAACAAAAACTAAAGTGTAGATGAATGTTAATACTTCTCCAATAATTAAATAATTGAACTTGATGAGATCTATAGATCTATAAATAATGAAATAATGGGGAAGAGGTTTGCCATTATAAGAAAAATATTGTTGTAAAAAATGCAAAGTTCTAGTGGTAGTAGTGATGACAAACAAGAAAGCAAAAAGAAAAAAAAATGTGGTAACAAAGAAACAGAATGTGTGACTTATTCCTGTGTATTTATCTTCTTCTCTCCATCTTTTATCTTCTCTGTCTAGTTTCTTAGATTCCCTAATAAATTTAATATTTTTATTTATTCTCAAAAATTTTCTTTTGATAAAAGGAGGCAAATAGAAATGAATATTATTAAATATTCTTAATAGATATAAAAACAACTCAATGTTTTGGTATGTTTCATACTGTTTTCGTGTGTTTTCGTATCTTTCAGTGGAAATATTGGAATTCTAGTATTCTGTTATTATTTTGTTTGGTTTCCTAGGAAACGTAAATATTTCGGCCATTTCAATGAATCAAAAAATAAATAGTGAAAGTTTGTTCATTGGTTATGAGAGACTTCTCCTTTGTAGGCCTAGCCTCTTCAGCTTATGAAAGTTTTTTTTCTTCTAGGCTAGGTTGTTGGCGCATTGCCTAGTTTGGGAGGAGTGGGCTTCTTTAAACTAGTCCTTGTGTACCCTTCTAAGATGTCTTTGGAGCCGCATTGTATATTTTTTGCTTTCGCTAATAAATGCTCATTAACCCACCAAAAAAAAAAAATGAAGATAGAAACATCAAAAGTAAACCAACCCCTTAGACTATTATGAAAACACCATCAAATTTCAAACTAGCGCAATCTAATTCAAAATTTTCATCCAATTGAGAACGTCTAGCATATTTTCTCACAATAGCAGGGTCATTATAACTAACTTCAGTGAGTTGTCCGCCATAGAACTCAATAGTTACATCTACTTGTTCAACAAATTTTCAGGTATAGCGAACAGGATGTTCTCAACGGGGTGGGTTCAATGTACACGACCATAATGTTCTTGGCAACAAATGCTTGTGTTTCAGTGCTCCCAGTCATAACCGCTGATCGAGTAGTCTTTTACAGAGAGAGAGCTGCAGAGGCATACTCTGCATTTCCTTACGCAATTGCACAGGTATAGGTTATATGATACAATGAACATTTATTCATGATCATATTAGATTACACAAGTTCTTGGATTGATCTTCCCATTTCAGGTTGCAATTGAAATCCCATATACATTGGCTCAAACTCTTGTTTATGGGATCATAGTCTATGCGATGATCGGATTTGAATTGAGCTCAACCAAGTTCTTCCTATACTTGTTCTTTTTCTTCTTCACATTCCTGTACTGCACATATTTTGGAATGATGGTGGTAGCCATAAGTCCTAATCAAGAAATTTCCGCGACATTGTGTAGTGCCAATTTTACCTTGTGGAATCTCTTCTCGGGTTTTCTAATTCCTCCAGCAGTAAGTTTCAATTTAAATCCCAATGTTGAAGCTTCATAACTTATGCTCAGTTTTGTTTCGAAAAAAGATCATTATTTTTTTCACAAAACATTTTTTGGAAATTAGCAAAAACATTTTTAGGTATTTGGTTGCGAACCTGAAAATGATGGTTGTGGTAGTGGTGGGGGTGGTAGGGACTGTGAAGTGGTGGTGGTCGCAGCAATGTAATTGATGGGGAGGTGGTGACCAGTTACAAACATAGAAGGGGTGAGTGGGGGGCTAACCCTTCCCCTGCTATCAATTTTTTTTTTTTTTTAATCCTTGATTAGTTCCATTCAATTTTAAGTATTTATAAAAAAAGGGTAAATTAAATTGCCCTCTCCTAAGATTTGAAGAAAAATACAATAAGCTCCACAAGTTTTGATTTAATTATGTTGAGCTCCTTAAGGTTTTTGTTCGCATAATATTTGGCACTCTTTTCATCAGAAATTTATTAGTTGTATAAATAAAAAAATGATATTGTCATCTCTTTTATACTAAATATAGATTTTACCTTATTTATCTTTATGTCTTCATTCTATCTACATTAGTTTCAGTCTCTTTAATCTTCTTAAAAGGGAGATCAGTGTAATTATATCAAAATTGTTAGATTTGCTGTATTTTTTCCAAATTTTAAGGGAGGTCAATATAATTTACCATAAAAAGACATTAGCATTTTGGCTCTCCAAAATCTATATAATTTTACAGCGACCCTCTTAAACTTCACAAAACCCTCATTGGCCTATGCAATTTATATATTTGTAAAAGAAATATATAAATTGTACTTTGACCGTTGCATATTCAAATATTTTTTTGGCCCCTCTTTTGTATGATTTATACTTCTGCCATTAGTAGTATTTGACCCTTCAATATTCCAAAAAAAAAAAAAAAAAAAAAAAACTATTTACAAATGGGTTCAAAAAAACCACTCTTTTGTATGATTTATGGGTCCTCCATTAGCAGTAAGAGTGATAGTGGCATCATCATTGGTGGTGGTGGTGGGAGGGGGGTTGAAACCTTTTCAGCTCATTTCAGAGGTGAAAATTGCAGTGATGTTTATAAGACTATATTTTGAAAAATGTTGTCCTCCTTTCAGAGGTAGAAACCTTTTCAGCTCATTTTCCGTTGGTCACATAAAATAATTTTTCGTTGTTAGAAAATCGCAGAAATACTTTTCAGAATTTTTTTTTTCTTTCAAAACAAACACAGTACAATTTGATGATTCAATGCAGAGGATTCCAACGTGGTGGAAGTGGTATGAATGGGTGTGTCCTTTTTCATGGAGTCTATATGGATTGGCTTGTTCACAGTATGGAGATATTCAGTCTATGCTCAACAATGGAGAGACTGTGGCTGAGTTCATAACAAGGTATTTTGGGTACAAAAACAACTTCTTGAAAATTATTTCTATCGGCACAATCGGGTTTGCAGTGATCTTTGCCTGCATATTTGCTGTCTCTATTTCGACCTTAAATTTTCAGAAAAGATGAATAAGTTTACAAGGAAAGTCTGTAAAACTCATAAACCTATTGTTTTTACATGATGTTCAAACTATGTGCTAAACAAAGTTCATACAGAGAAGAGAACCAACCACAATTCAATATATGGTTGTTACAAGAGTTATGATTGTATGGTATGGTTATATGAAATAGATCGTCTAGGTTTTAATATATCTTGCTTTTTCTAAGTCATGTTGCATTTTATTTGGCCATGATTGTCTTGGACGTGTTCATAAGGAAAACTGTAAGCGTACTCTATGTTGAGCGAAATTGTGGTTTCAATCACACAATAAAGTAGTAAAACACACAATGAAAAACAAAAACAAAAACATAAGATATAAGTTTGTTTTCTTATGCTGTGTTTGGTTGGAGTTTTTGAGGTGGGATTTGGAAAAGGAATGAGAAATGTAATCCTATTTATGTTTGGTTATAATAAAAAATATATGGGAAAAGAAAGGGGGTGAGAAATAAATAAAGAAATAGGATACCTTTTAGGACATCAATTCTATTTTATAACCAACACAATCAAACATAGTTGGGATTTGGAATTCTATTAATTCTTTCTCCTTTTCCTTTCATTTCCATTTCCCTTTCCATTTCCCTTCCCAAAACCCCCAACCAAACACAGCGTTAGTGAATTGTTTTCGTAGTTTTGGCTCATGATTTTTTATCACAATTGGAGAAGTTTAATTGTGATTTTTTTTACGTTAAATTGTTGTACCGATTTGTTGTTGATTGTTCAATTGGGATTGTTATTCATTGTTTGAAATTGAATGATAATCACAAATCAATATTTCGGGATTTTCAAGATTTTTCATAAATCACACTTTAATTTGCTTGTGCATCTTACTTTGCATTCATTCTTGCTTGTTCATTCTCTACAAATAGGAATATTGTCTGGAAATAAAATAAGTTAGTAAAATTTAATACCACTTATTGAAATGGATTATCATTGTACTCATTTGTAACCACCCCCCTCCCCAAAAAAAGAAAATGCTAACTTGACATCATATACATATTTGCACAATAAACCAAGACAATTACAAAATCAATTGCAAGAGTTCTCTTTCTCATTGAACTCTAAATTAATAGTTACAAATTTCATAAGAGTCCTTATAGTTCAAAAAGTTAGAGAAAATTATAACAAATACATCATGACTTACAAGTTTCTAGATCAAGGTTTCAAAAGAATAAAAGGACTCTTAGTCCCAAAAATAATAATAATAATTACATTATGTCCTCAGCAAAAACAAAAGGGTGGACAACTTCAAATTCATTGGAGTTGTTGCTGCTCTCCAAGTCCTAAAAGTTGTTAGATAGGAATGAGCAATTGCCCAGTAGAGAATATATTAACCATATAAATAGTTGATTTAAAATATGCAAGACCATGACCTTTACCCATGAACACTACACGTGCTTGTTTTTCAGTGCTCCTAGTCATATCCGCTGATCGAGTAGTCTTTTACAGAGAGAGGGTTGTAGAGGCATACTCCGCCTTTCCTTATGCGATTGCACAAGTATAGGTTATATGATATGATGAAACATTCATGATCATATTAGATTACACAAGTTCTTGCATTGATCTTCCCATTTCAAGTTGCAATTGAAATCCTATATACACTGGCTCAAACTCTTCGGATTTGAATTGAGCTTAACCAAGTTCTGTTAGGATTAAGAACACTCAAAAATTAATCACATATAGAAAAGACACAAGATATTTACGTGGTTCGACAATTGCTTACGTCCACGGAGAGATTTCACTATAGAATTTCTCGGAGGGAGATTACAGAACTCACACTTACTTTCTATAGATTTACACACACTTTCTCTGATTCTCTCTTGCTCTGTGTTGTGTTTCATCCCTTTCTCATCACCTCAATTTATACACAAATGAGAGGGAACAAAGTCAAGGAAGAGGAGTCATTGGGAGGGCTGCCACTTGCCATTTCCCCTCCTACTTCTTGACTTGGAGTCAACCTCCAATTACTCATCTGTAACGCCCTCAAAATAATACATAGAAATCCACATTATAGACATACATAGACATAAGTAAACAGAACTTAATTCCATTCATCAGAGTATTCCTTACAAATGTATTACATGTTGACAACAAAAGTAAATGCCCAACGGCTTACAACTTTCCAAGCCAACACTTGGTTACACAAAAGAGAGTACTAAATGATATCATATAAAGCCCTTGGCTTGAATGTACATATAATACAATAAAAGATAACAAAATAACAAAGAGTCTTCAACTCCTAGAACCTCCCAAGCTATGTCTTTGGAGGTGGCATATCACCTGGACCTGAAAATGATGTCCCATAAAGGGTGAGCCACAGCCCAGCAGAGATATACTAAACCAAATATAAGCAATGACTAAAACAATAGCATTTGATAGATGGTTAATACTTCATAACCAGTTTATATCATCATACAGTTCCATGACAAACATGTCCATGTTACATTTTATTTCTCCGTTACTTAACCCAATCATTTCATAAGCATGGCCCAGAACCTGGCCAATCCTTCAGTGAGACTATATCTCAGATTATAAAATTTCCATACTTTACAATTCAAAAGAGATCGCAATTCATGTTAAAACACTTCCAATATTTCAAATAATACACATATTCGCTGCATTATCACTTCTATTCAATACACATATTTGTTGTCTTAACACTTCAATCTGATACACGTATTTGCTGTATCAATGGAATCCATCCCCTATCTCCTCCAAACAGGTTTGAGAGTCCATCCCCTATCTTCCATCAAACCATGGAGTACATCCGCTATCTCCTCCCACACAATATACATATTCCAAGTATATAAACAATTATCATATACAAGAATCAATCAATACACATATTTGATGTATTTTTCCAACCGTCATATTCATTGACGAATTCAATGTGATTAGTTTCGGTTTTTCCTAATCAATATGCAGTGTCTACAACAATCAAGAATATCCTCCACCGATAGCCCAAAGTAGATATTTCTAAACAGAACATAAATGCATCAACAGATATAATATCAACATTTTTCATAGGTGAGTGATAAATTAATCCAACTACACCACATGATCCCATAATTTCCCAATCTCATGATTCCCAACTCAATTTCTCATTTCTCTAAAATTAATTATACAAATTAATTTGTCATAATAACTAGGGCATTTTCCCATATTTCACATACCAATCCTAAGGTTTGATTTCACCAATCTAACAACAATAATTCCATATTTCAACAACTCACATACACATAGGTTTTAATATTTGAATACCCCTCTTTCATAAATTACATAACAAACCCTAACTTTCTCAATATTACCCAATAACACCATCTATTCAAAATGACCAAAATTAAAGACAAAACTCATAAGATGGAGTAGGGTATCCCTACCTCGAAATGAAGAGACCAAAGGAGAAGATGGTGAAAATCCAAAGTGCTCCAAATCCATAAATTTTCAGATTAAAATGAAGCCCTCAACACCCTCTATCTTTCTTACAAAGAACTTAGGGTACGTAGCAACACTCAAGAACTAGATCAATCCCTAGAGAGAAGGTGTGTAGAGAGAGAGAGAGCTCAGATCTAGGGTTTTGAAATCAAAAGAGATAAAAAAGTGAAGTGTTTACCCGCAGCTGTCTACTGATATAACACAGGCTCGCTCGAGCGAAGGATTGGTCGCTCGAGCGACCAGACACAAAGAACTCTCGCTCGAGCTAAGAATGCGAAGCTTCAGGTCTGCAACCCAGAAGCACGCTCGAGCGACAGAACTTTCGCTCGAGCGAAGAAACCCAAAACATAGACCTCGCTCGCTCGAGTGAAGGAAAGCTCGCTCGAGCGAAGAATTGCAACCTTCAGGTCCAGAACTAGACGCAGACGCAAGCTCGAGCGAAGGACTTCCCGCTCGAGCCACCTGATACAAAACTCAACTCTCGTTCAAGCGAAGGAACCCTAGCTCGAGCGAAGGATCTAAAACACAAAGCTCGCTCGAGTGACAAAAGCCTCACTCGAGCGAAGAACCAAAATTCTGGGCAGCAACCATTTGCTCCCAGTCACACCCAACCTGCAACAAACCTGCCTAAAACATCCTATAACTCAAAAATAAGGAATTAAAGGACGACAAAAAGATATATACAACAACAAGCTCCACGGAACCTAAGTCCGGATACAACAACCAAATGAGGAAAGACCGGGATCGCTATAACTCCTCCATGTGGGCTGGAGCCAACAATTCTCCCCCTCTACGCCCATATGGATAACTGACTTCTTACTTGAATCCATCACAGTCAGATTCTTGCAAACTTCCAGTTTGTCTCTGGTGACAACCTTGATCATCATGTTAGAAGGATTCTTGTCCGTGTGAATCTTCACCAGCTTTATCAGCTGCTTTTCTATCACTTCTCGTATCCAATGATACCGGACATCAATGTGCTTTATATGTGAATGGTACGCGGAATTCTTGCTCAGATCAATTGCACTCTGACTATCACAATGTACCTTGTACTCTTCCTGCTGTAGACCCAATTCTTGGAGAAACTGCTTTAACCACAACGTTTTCTTTCCAGCATCTGCGGTAGCAATAAACAACACACTTTTGTGGTTTGGATTGCCATGAAATAGCCCTCCTGCAAAGGTGAATAAAGATCCTAATGTAGACTTTCTACCATCAAGATCCCCCGCCATATCGACATCTGTAAAACTCTCCAAAATTGGTTTAACTCCCTCAAAACATAGACACAACTTTGAAGTTCCCTTTAAGTACCGAAGAATCCATTTGACCTCCTCCCAATGATCCTTTCCTGGATTGGTGAGGAATTTGCTCACAACACCAACTACGTGAGCTATATCTCGCCGGGTACACATCATTGCATACATCAAAATCCCTACTGCAGCTGAGTAGGGAATTGCCTCCATCTCTTCTATTTCATTTGTAGATGAGGGACAAGAACTCTTGCTTAGCTTGAAATGGTTAGCCAGCGGAGTATTGACTGGCTTGGCTTCTTTCATGTTGAACCTTTCAATCACCCGTTCAATATATTTTTCTTGTGATAGCCCTATCTTCTTGGCTTTCTTGTCACAAACAATCTTCATGCCCAAAATCTGCTATGTTGGGCCTAAATTCTTCATGTCAAAATACTGTGACAAGTTATTTTTCAACTTGTTAATCATAGCAGTATCCTGTTCGATTATCAGCATATCATGGACATACAACAGTAGA